ATATCCCTGTTGATATGTGATATAAGACATGTTTTCATGCCCTGTGTGTATTTTCTTAGGGGCCTATTAAGGTCTCTGGCTCATTTCTAAGTGGAGCTGTTTCATCTTCTTGAGCTTTGATGGTTCTTTGTATAGTGTGGGTAATCACCTTCTACCATATATGTTTATGCAAATAATTTGTCTGTGGTTTGTCTTTTCTTCTCTTGACAATGTCTTTTGTAAAGAAGGAATTTCTAATATTAATGAACTCCAGCTTCACCCTCTTCCTGGATCATTTCTTTGGTGTAATTTCTAAAATCCATTTTCAAACATGTTCATCTAGATTTTTCCCTATGTCATCTTGTGTTGTTTTGGTTTGGTTTGTACATAACAGGCCAGTTGCTCTTTTTGAGGTTATTTTTGTGAAACAGTATGTGGTCTGTATCTACATTTTTCCCCCCTGTGTATAGCTATCCAGCTGCCTTCCCATCTACTGGAAAGATGGTTTCTCCATTGTGTTGCTTTTGCTCCTGTGTCGGATGTCAGTTGGATCGCTATTCTGTCCCAGTGCTCCATTCGTTCATCCTTCCATTGTCCTACTCTGACCTGGATACTGTATTAAAATCCTCTGGGGTCAGTCTTCTAATTCTCATCTTTTCCTTCAATATTGAGCTGTCTGTTCTCCTTATTTGTCTCTCTATATAAACTTAAAATTTATTTGTTGATATCAGTAAAACATAGCTGTGATTTCAACTGGAATTGATGTTGAATCTGTGGATCATATTGGGAATTGCTGACATTGTAACAGTATGAAATTTTCCTATCCACAAACATGGAATAGCTCTCCATTTATTTTTCAGATTTCTTTTGTCAACTTGGTGATTGCCTTCATATTTGTATTTTGATGAATTTGTTCCATAACAACTTTATTTTTTAGTGTGCCTGTGTAGGTGTTAATGTTTCTTTCAATTATAAAGAAATTTAGCCCATGGTTGTAGAAGGGGGAAGTCCCAGAGCATGGTACCAGCACCTGGTTGGCATACTTTTTAGATTTTTATTTTCTGCTGTGTAAAGGTGATGTATAGGGGGATTTGGCTGGCATTCTGGATGCATCAGAATATTGCAAAGGGCATTGGGAGGAGAGCTGGGGCAAGCGAAGCAAATGGGTTGTCCTTTCTTCCTCTTCTGTTCAAGGCCTCTCATGTCATCCTGGGGCCCCACTCTGATGGTCTTACCCAGTCCTAATTACCTTCTGAAGGCCCCACTTCAAACACCATTAACACAGGTGCGTTGCAGAGGTCAGATGCCTGAGAGAAATCAACTGGAAGGAGGAATGGTTTGATTTTGACTCACAGTTTTGAATTCTCCATGTCTCATTGGATCCGTTGCTTTAAAGTCTATGGTGAAGCAGAAACATGGCAGGAGGGGATGGTGGAAGAAAGTGGCTCATGTTGAGGCCAACAAGAAGGAGAGGGTGGATGGGAGAGACAGACAGACAGACAGATGGTGTGTGTGGGGGGAAGACCAGGGTCAAGACAGGCCCATGAAAGGCTCCCTCTAGGCACCCACTTCTAACCAGGCACTACCTCTTAATAGCACATTCAGGTTTGAGCTCATCCATCCATGGATACCATTCATTCCCCATACTCCAATCACTGCCACTAGTTGAGGAGAGCAAGCCTTTAATACACAAGTCTTCAGGGGACCGTTTGTATCTAGACCAAAGCAGGACGAGTCTGGGGAGACAAAGGAAAGCAGGTCAGAGGATGTGGCAGGGAAGAGAACTGGGAAGAAGGACAAGTCCCTCTGAGGGTGGGGGGTGGGGAGACCCCAGGTGACCCGAAGGGAACTGGAAGGAAGGTGGGGCACGGTCCCAATTCTCACACTGGTGGAGACTCTGCCACACTGCCATTCTTATAATCACCATGCAAGACAGTATTACCTCCACATTACAGGCGGGAAAAGAAAGTCTCCAGGAAGAGAAATCACTTGCTTTGCCTCTACATGGCTCTGAAGTCTCCTTGTGATAGCTTAGTGTGTGGGTCTGGCCAAAAGATACCTTGGGGATTCCTGAGCACTGCCGATTGCCTGTCGCCCAAGGCCACTGTTGGAGTAGCCACACACCTGCGTTGTGATCTAAAGTGGGTTTCTTATAGAAAACATAATTGGGTCCTGTTTTTTTTTTGTTGTTGTTCTTATAGTCCCTGTCTTTGGATTCGTGTACCTCTAATCTCTTCTTGTGGAGGGACAGTTTAAACCTAGGACCTTGTATTTGCTAGGCAGGTGCTCTACCACTTGAGTCATGTCCCTTCCCATTTTTGCATTGGTTGTTTTATGGATAGGAAATTGCATTTTTGGCCACGGGCCTGCCTAAGACTGATTCTCCTAACTGCATGTCACGTCTAGCTTGAATTACAGATATACCTTGAATGATGACCCTCCTGACCTTGGCCTCCCACATATCTGGGATTACAGGTGTGAATAGGTTTTAAAAAAAATCTTTAAGTAATTGTACAAAGGAATTGACATTGGACAAAACAGTTTATGAATACAATGCCTCTTGATCAATGTCACCCCTTTCAACATTCTTACCTGTCCCTCCCCTCCCAACCCTTTCCCTCACTCTTTAATTTTGTAGGATATACATTGAATTCTTGACTGCATTCTCCCTCTCTTCATTCATCTACCCCCTTTTCCCTTGACCCCAGCCCACTTCCTAGTGTTTTGTTGAACTTTGCCTTTGCCTTTCTAAGGAATTACACTATTTGAGTGGTCCCTTGAATCTACTGTATTTATATACACTTGTATGCCACCCAATGTATTTACTTGGGAGCTTAAAAGCTAAATCTGGCTTCCATTATAGTGGCAAACATGGATCCTTTGTCCTGGGCCTGACTTGCTTGCTTTCTTGCTTGCTTGCTTGTTTGCTTGCTGGCTGGCTGGCTGGCTGGCTTGGTTGGTTGGTTGGTTGGTTGCTTGCTTGCTTGCTTGCTTGTTGGCTTGCTTGCTTGCTTGCTTGCTTGCTTGCTTGCTTCCTTCCTTCCTTCCTTCCTTCCTTCCTTCCTTCCTTCCTTCCTTCCTTCCTCCTTTGCTTGCTTGCTTGCTTGCTTGCTTGCTTTCTTGCTGGCTGGCTTGCTTGCTTGCTTGTTGGCTTGTTGGCTTGCTTGCTTGCTTGCTTGCTGGCTGGCTGGCTGGCTGGCTGGCTGGCTTTCTGGCTTGCTTGCTTGCTTGCTTGGTTGCTGGCTTGCTTGCTTGCTTGCTTGCTTGGTTGCTGGCTTGCTTGCTTGCTTGCTTGCTTGGTTGCTGGCTTGCTTGCTTGCTTGCTTGCTTGCTTGCTTGCTTGCTTGCTGGCTGGCTGGCTGGCTGGCTTGCTTGCTTGCTTGCTTTCTTGCTGGCTGGCTGGCTTGCTTGCTTTCTTGCTGGCTGGCTGGATTGCTTGCTTGCTTGCTGGCTTGCTTGTTGGCTTGCTGGCTTGCTGGCTTGCTGGCTTGCTTGCTTAATGGCTGGCTGGCTGGCTGGCTGGCTGGCTGGCTTTTTCTTTCTTGCCTGCTTGCTTGCTTGCTGGCTGGCTGGCAGGCTTTCTTGCTTTTTTTTTTTTTTGGTCAGTCGTGGGGCCTGAACTCTGGGCCTGGGCGCTGTGCACTCTACCGCTTGAGCCACAGCGCCACTTCTGGCTTTTTATGTGATGCTGAGGAATTGAACCCAGGACTTCATGCATGCTAGGCAAGCACTCTACCACTGAGCCACATTCCCAGCCTGAGAAGACTGTCTTAAGCCATTAGCCCATCTATTAATTGAGTTGTTTTAGGAAGATTTAATTTTTAAAGTTCTCTCCATATTCTGGATACTAGGCCATTTAGATAAAAAACCCAGCATCCGAATAGATAATAGAATTTTGTCTGTTACTCCTCCCCCCTCCCTTGTTTTTGAGACAGGCTCTCACCAGGCTGGCTTCAACTTTGAAATTCTCCCACTTCATTCTCTCTTTTTTTGGTGGTGGGGGGGGTCCGGTCGTGGGGCCTGAACTCTGGGCCTGGGCGCTGTCCCTCAGCTCTTCAGTTCAAGGCTAGCGCACTACCACTTGAGCCACAGCACCACTTCTGGCTTTTTTCTTTTTGCTTATGTGGTGCTGAGGAATAGAACCCAGGGCCTCAGGTGTGCAAGGCAAGCGCTCTACCACTGAGCCACCTTCCCAGCCCCCCACTTCATTCTCTTGAGTGCTGGGATTGCAGGTGTGCACCATCAAGTCTGGCTGAATAACTCTTGATTTGATAGGAATCTTGACCTTTCCAGTATTACCAAAATTGATTGTCTACATGATTGGCTACAGAAAGTTTCAAGATTACTTCAAATAGCTTTTTGCTAGATCACTATGCACTTGTTTCCGAGACAATGAAATCCCCGTAGTTCTGTTTCTGACCAGAAGGTGGCATCTGATTGTCATTAATACTGGAGTGGTATGTCAACACTTCTTTCTCCTGAACGTGGAGGCCCACATGTCTCAGATTCTGTACTCCATTTACACACACACACAAATATATTCCACACACACACACACACATATATATGTATATATATATATATATATATACACACACACACACCCTCTTCCCTAAAATGGAAGAATCATAGCTTGGGAATATTACCCATGTCTTTTTTTCCCTTACAGTCCAGAGTACAAGCATGTGCTGTTCCTACAAATACCATCCATCCATCATTTTACTTGTGAGTGGAAATATACCAAGGAATCTGTCGAAAGTCAAGCGTTCCCCTTTTGTACACACGTTACCTTCCAAAATATCCATGAAGGGAAGCTCACAAGTCCGGTTGTCAGTGTTGCAGGCTATAAGTCAGGTCTCCAGTCTGTGCAGGAAGACGTTATGATGGATAGGTCTGCTACGGAGCCCCAGGACCTTTGTATAGCACTGGCACATTGTACATACTAAAAAGTGGTATGGATTGCAAGGGCCGAGACGGGGCTTCATGGAGGTGGTGTAGCTGAAGTTGACTCTGGACCTGACCTGTACTTTCTGGAAGAGGAAGCCGAGTGCCATTTGAATAGGCTATACAGATGCAGTGTGTAAGGTATTGTGGCCAGGGAGGCTGACATCATGTCAGGAGGTGCCTGGCAATAATCAGGTGGGCATGTAGGTGCCGGCCACCCAATTCAGGTTTTCAGGGAAGGGGAAGAGCTGTCTGGTTGGGTGATCTTGTTCTAGGGTGAGGCAGCCCAACCTGCTGTTACAATGACTGATATCTAAGTGGCCTTTACAGTTTGTTTTCTCTCTCTCTCTCTCTCTCTCTCTCTCTCTCTGTTACTGGGGCTTCAACTTGAGTACTTACACTCTTGCTTGGCTTTTTCATTCAAGGCTGGCACTCTGCACTGGAGCCATAGCTCCACTTCTGGCTTTTAAGTGGAGATCAACGTTTCAAGGACTTTCCTGCCCAGGCTGGCTTCAAACCCCAATTCTCAGAGCTCTGCTTGCAGAGTAGCTGCTAGGATTCCAGCTGCGAGCCACCAGGGCCCTGCTACAAAGTGTCTTTTCAAACACTGATGTCTTCAAGGTCCCAAGATCGCTGGTGTTGGCAGTTACTGTGTCAGCATTACCAATGAGGAAACAGAGGCTCTGATCGCTCAATGCCTTGCCTTTCCCCGGGCGCCCACCTCTGGTCAGCCCTGCTTATTGATGGATAGACACAAGGAGGGTCCACAAAGGATGGGAGGGACAAACGTGTCACTCACTCTTCCTGAAAATTGGTCCAGCCCATCACAGAGCTACAAACAGCTGCTTACCATGAGCCAGGGTGGTGTCCTTCACACATAGGACAGGAAGATCTTGTTTTCCCTTCCCTTGGTGATACTGGGGTTTGAATTTAGTGATTCACACTGGCTGAGCCATGCTTCCACCTCTGGTTTTGTTTTTTGTTTTTCTGATTCTGTTTGAAACAGCATTGGTCTTGCTTTCTGCCTAGGTTGCTCACCTGCCTCTTTTAGGCTTCCTGTTATTTCTAGGATTACAGGTGTGTGCCACCATGCTCAGCTCTCAGTTGAGCAAGGAAGGGTCTTGTGAACTTTTCTGTCTAGATTGGCCTTCAACTACGATCCTCCAATCTTAGCCTCCCAGGAGAGTCTTATTTTTCAGCGAGAACATAGAGATTGATACAATGCCATCATATCAAAGAGTAAAGGGCAAACTATCTCAAGCTGTTAGCCTAAACTATCTATACATTGCTTTCTCATCATACATACATACACATAAGCATACATACATACAGGCATATATATATATATCCATATCCATACACATATACACATACATATTTGCAGTGTTAGGGTTTGAACTTGGGGTCCGGTGCTTGCCAGGTAAGCAGTCTACCATTTGAATCATACCTTCCATCCAGTCATTTTGCTTGACATTTGTTTTTTCCGACATAGGGTCTTAGGCATTTGCCTGGGGTTGGCCCTGCCTTTGATCCTCCTACCTCTGTCTCTGGAGTAACTGGTATTACAGGACAGCTTCACCATGCCAGGCCCTCCCATGGTCTTGGCAAGCCAGGCGCTTGGAGGAATTGCAAGGCGAACACTCGCTGATCCTCCCTGGGCAGAGCTGGCTGTGGCCCCCGGCACCAGGCCAGGCCAGTCTTGGCTGGGTGCCTCAGCTTTCTCTGGAGCTGAAGGTGTGTCACATGAGGTGTGTCACATGTGTGTCACACATGTGACTTTCGGGCACAAAAGGGAGAGGTTTAACCCTCCAAGGGTCACTAATGACGGGATCAGCACTAGGGGACGTCCAGGTGCCAGCCTTCCACCCTCAAAATAGTTCCCAGGATGCTCCTCAGAGCAGCTCAGGGGAGTGAGGCCTGGCTGCTCAAGGTAGAACCAGTTTAGATTGTACCTCTGGTTGGCTCTTGACTTTTTCTTACTGGTATTGAAGTTTGAACTCAGGGCCTGGTGCTTGCTTGGGGGTGGTGCTCTACTACTTGAGCCATACTCCTGGCCCTTTTGCTATTCGTTATTTTTTTCAGGCTGGACCTTGATCCTTCTGCCTATAGAATTCCACACAGCTGATGATAGGTGTGCTCTCCCATATTCAGATTATCAGTTGAGACGCGGAGGAGGGCCTCACTAACTTTTGCCAGGGCTGGCCTCAAATTGGGATCCTCTTGATCTTCACTTCCCAAGTAACTGGGATCGCCAGGTTTTCCCCACCAGGTCCAGCCTCGCTTCCTTGCGGCCTCCTGACATTGTCTTTCAGGTAAACTACCTGCTCTCCAGTTCGGCTTACCTCAGGCTCACAGATCAGAACACAGCACACATGGGCTCACTCCTGTTTGGAAAGCTGATTGGCTCTTCACGGAGCCCACTGTGACCTCATAGGAGGAGGTGTTCCCAGGTGTTCTCAGAATAGCAGCGACACCTACAGGACACAGAAAGAATCAGGAGACCCAGTCATTGCCCGGAAGATCCCAGGATGTAGTTCGAGGGAGATCAGGGATCTAGGGAGAAGCCACATGGGTTCTGGAGGTAGCATATGATCTGGGCCTGGAGGGGAGAGATTGTTCCTAATGGGGAAGGCTGAGAAGGAGACCAGAAAGTGGCAGCCATCCCGCTCCTCAAACCAAAAAAGCAAAGCAAGCCCACTTACATTCGAAGTGCCTTTTTGAATTTGAAAAAAGCCATTTGGAACAGAAGACCCAGACCAAAACGAAGGAAAAACTTCTGACCTAAGAAATAATCATGAAAAGCTACCAAGGGCACCGATGACCTCCTTGTGAGTCAACACTCAGCTGAAGACTAGCGTTTTGAATCGGGAAACTTGCATTCAGTTATCCACTCTACTGTCAGGGCCTGGCCAGCCCCAGAGAACTCCAGTGCTTTCTTTTGTTTCTCTGAGACACCAGGATAATCATTCCCAACACCAGGTGGTTGTGAAGAGAGAATAAATGATGTAAGTGAAGCTGACGGGCCACGGTTGTGGGCCCCCTCAATTCCAACTCAGTTCAGAGGTTCCAGGGCCGTGGTTAGGGAGACTATCTGAGCCCAATGTGCCTAGCTCGCTTGGCTGTGGTTCCTGCTACCTTAGCACCAGCGTTATAGGAAGCAGTGGCAGTGTTTGTAAACTTTGAAAGAAAGAGGTTTCCAAATGTGAAAAGAAACCCACAGACAAAGAACAAAATCCGAAGTCAGGAAGAGTTATTTCAGCGTCTGATGTAGCATTGTATGAACTTGACAACTGCTTCCAGTTTTTCCATAGCCACCAAGCAGCTATGTTCCATGTGGGCTGTGGGTCATATTTGCTTGCTTTCGTTGAGGTGAAGAGTAGGACTCTCCAGGACTGTGAAGATCCTGAGACAGCTCCACTCCCCTAGGTTCTTGTTCTTGGAATCTTCAAAGGATGAGCCAGACGGGGTTGTGCTGGAGGAGGCAGGGTCCGAGGGAGGCTCAGCCATCCTCTGACCTCTTCCTCTCCCTGGACCAGCAGGACATCACAGCGTAATCACCCTCTCGACGTTATCTGCCCTGCTCGCTCCCTTCAGACGGTCCATCCCAAGACCCCATATATGGGGTGACGTATGGACAACAGAAATTTAGCACCATTCTTGGGGTGGCTAGGGCTCTGGCAGACTCGCCGTCTGGTGAGGACCCATGTAGAAGTGCTTCTTCCCCCGGTGGAAGGAGCTGTGGGTCTGTCTCAGGCCTCTTAAAATAATAAGAGGAAGTGGTGCTGTAGCTCAAGTGGTAGAGCACTTGCCTCAAGTGGTAGAGCACTTGCCTTGAGCTGAAGAGCTCAGGGACAGCGTTCAGGCCCAGCGTTCAAGCCCCATGACCGACAAAAACAATAAATAACAAGAACATTCTCCCAAGAGCTCCATCCTCTCTGCCTCCCTCCTCCATATGCTGTAGTCATGGGGGTTAGCTGTCAGATCGTGCTAGAGAGCCTGAGGATGCATTAGACCTGCTGTCCACAACTTGCTCTCACCAATGGCTGTTCCTTGGCATCTCTGTAGGCCTTTAACAATTTGACGTCATTGTATTTTAAAAACAACAACAAAAATCCCCCAGCAATATTCACTGATCTCTTCCAATTTCAGGGAGAGCCCAAGGAAAAGAAAATATATTCTAATCTAGCCACATGGGAAGACATGCATCATTTTATTAACCAGTAACCATCCTATTTCCTAAATACTGCACATAGATCAATTATTTCCTCCTGTTGAGTCATGGTGAAATTCTTCTGTGAGAGGTATGGTGGGGCTGGGGTGGGGGAGGGGCTGGGTGGAGAGGGCTAGGAGAAGAAGCCATGTGAGGTACAGAAGAAAGAGGAATCGCTTCGGAGGGACCTGAGGTCTCTCCATCTCCGAAGCTTTACTCTTTGAGAATGCCTTATGAATGATAGGTTCTTGTCTGTTGTGTGAATAATCCACAGTTATTTCTCTGCTCACCAATCAAAGGACATTTAGATTGTTTCTCCTCTGGGGGTGATCTCGCCATCTACCCCAGAAATGGTTCTTGATACCCAGCAAGGAAGACACTGGTAAATTGAAGGAACTCACTGATGGCAAGGATGCCCACTGGCCAACACACTCTGTGCCAACCTGGATTTAGGAGCTCAAGAAATTGGCAAGTGTGCTCATGCAGACATGCATACAGTTCTGTGGGGTTGGATTTGCACTCTCACAAAAGGAGACTTGGAACTGGCTTTATAAGGAACTCCTTTTTGGCCTTTATTAATGCTCCGTGATTGGTAACAATGAGATTTGCATCCATTGTTTTTTCAGGAAGTTATTGAGCAACAGTGAGAAACGCCCTGCAGAGAGGGACCAAGCAGAGGTGCCTGCAGGTTGTTTGAAAGACAACTGAACCTGAAACACAGCTCGGGAAAGCAAGGCCCAAGGAAATGTGAACAGGATGTACATGGGGCTGAACGGAGCACCTGAGCTAACTTGCAGGGCAAGGAAGAAGCCAAGAACAGGAGCGTAAAGTTTACCTGGCATATTGAACAGGTGTCATCTCTGACATCCATCACTGAGCACAAAGCTGAGACAAAAGCAGCTTCCTCCTCCTCCTGGAGTTGCTGTTTGCACTAGATGTCAGGGCTTTTGTTGTGACCTGGCCGTGATCTGGCCCATGGAGGCCCAGGCTCCAGTGACCTTCAGTGGTGAGCCATCTAAACAAAGGACAAATCACTGCACAGGTGGGCTCCCAAGGACTGTCTTCTACCATCCATTTTCTGGGCCAGAGCCGGCTGGGTTTCTCTAGTGTAGGGTCTGGAGAACGGCACCAACCCAGGGGTGTGTGTTCCTTTGTCCTGGCATTTCACTTCAGACAGATGATGAAATCCCACAGTCCTGTTTACATAGATATTAGCATTCTCAGATGCACTAGGTTTAGTTGAGGAAAGAGTTCGCACTAAGATTATTTGAAGAAGGAGGCTCCCTTGGCAAAGTTTTAAACATTTAAATGGATGAGAGCTCGGTTTACATTCAGGTTTTAGAGATGGTATGTCTAGACTTAGGAGTGAAGTATGAGAAACTGAAAAGTTAACAGACTGATAATGTTTTGAGGGATTTGCATTTATATGAATAATCATTTTTGAGCAACATTTTCTGTGGATTTTTTTGGGATGGCATAGAATTATGTAATTTCTACAATCGAGGCACAGAAAATTCTTATACTGCTCCTTTGTGGCCAGCTACTCCTACCTTAAACCCATGACAAACTCTTCTCCATCTCTGTAGTTTTGCTCTTTGAGAAGGCCATATGAATTATAGCCTCTTTCCTACTATATAGTTATTCCACTGTTGATTCTACCATCCACCAATCAAAAGACATTTAGACTGTTTCTCCTTTGGAGGGTTCTGATCATCCACATGCAAATTTGGTGTCAACCCAAGTTTTCATTTATCCAGGGTCAGTGCTTATGACTGGGATTTCTGGGTCATGAAGTGCAGTTTTAACTTTCCAAGAAGCTATTGAAGAATTTTCTAGAATGACTATGCTATTTTGTACATCCAGCAGCAATATATGAGAATTCCATTTGCTTAGTGTAGACTTGGAAAACGACATTAGACATTGAAAAGTGATTCTTACGCCAATAACTGCATATATTTTAAGACCTTAAGATGAAAAAAAAACTAATCTATTATTCTGATATATTTCTTCCTCCTCTTCCTTTCTCCTTCTGAAATAGGTTTCACTAGCCCAAGCTGGCATGAAACTGGTTTAAATGATTCAAGTTATGAACTCAGTATTCTCTTGGTCTTCTTGAGTCTTGGTCTTTTTTTTAAATTGTCGGTTGTGGGGCTTGAACTCTGGGCCTGAGCGCTGTCCCTCAGCTCTTTAGCTTAAGGTTAGCACTCTACAACTTGAGCCACAGTACTACTTCCGATTTTCTGGTGGTTAATTGGAGATGAGTCACATGGACTTTCCTGCCCGGGCTGGCTTTGAACCACAATCCTCAGATCTCAGCCTCCTGAGTAGCTAGGATTAAGAGGCATGAGCCACCAGCACCTGGTGAATCTTGGGTCTTTTGAGTGCTGAGATTAAAAGCATACATCCCCGTGCTCTACTAGATAGATTTAAAAAAATATAGTATTTGTTGCTTTTTACCATTTTCAAAGTTCCCAAAGTTCCCTGTGGTATTATTTCCCTTCAGCCTGAAGAACTTTGTTTAGCATTTCTTTTAGAGCAGATTAACTCTCTCAACTAAATTCTTATTTTCCCTTTATCTGAAAAGGTCTTTATTTTGTCCTCATTCTTGAGTACATTCAATGGACACTGAAGTTGGTGAATTGTGTCTTTCAGCGTGTCAGAGATCCTCACTATTGTCTATTAGCTGCCATGGTACCTGATAAATCAGCAGTCATTTGAATTATGTCTTATACCTATCATGTGTCATTTTTCTCTGGCTGTCTCAAGACTTGTTTCCCTTCATGGTTGATTTGCATCAGTTTGTGATCTGCTGGTTTTCATTGAATTTCTCCTTTGGGATTCCCTGAGATTTTTACATTTATAAAGCTATGAGTTTAGGCTGGGAATATGGCTTACTGGTAGAGTGCTTGCCTAGCATGCACAAAGCAAGCCCCAGATTGGATTCCTTAGCACACATAAACAGAAAAAGCCGGAAGTGGCGCTGTGGCTCAACTGAAAGAGGGCTAGCTTTGAGCAAAAAGAAGGTACAGGACAGTGCTTAAGCCCTGAGTTCAAGCCCCAGGACTGGCAAAAACAAACAAGAACAACAAATCAAAAAATAACAAAACAAAACCTATGGTTTTAGTTGAGCGCTAGTGGCTCATGCCTGTAATCCTAGCTACTCAGGACACTGAGATCAGAGGATCACAATTCCAAGCCAGCCTGGGCAGGAAAGTCAAATTAAATGCAAATAAGTCAGAAGTGGAGCTGTAGTTCAAATGGCAGAGTGCTAACTTTGAGCAGAAAAGCTCAGGGACAGTTCAAGCCATTGGACTGGCACAAAAGCAAAACAAAACAAAAACGCTATGTTTTACAAAATTCGGAATGTTTTTTGTTTGTTTGGGTCAGTTGTAGGTCTTGAACTCAGGGCCTGGTGCTGTCCCTGAGCTCTTTTGCTCAAGGCTAGCACTTCACCACTTTGAACCACAGCTCCACTTCCAGTTTTTGAGTGTTTAATTGGAGATAAGAGTATCAGGGGGAATTTTCTGTCTGGACTTTCTTTAAACCATGATCTTCAGATCCCAGCCTCCTGAGCTAGGATTATAGATTTTTTTTTTGAGAGTTTTCACTCTTATTTTTTTTCAAATTTCTTTTTGCTCAAATCTTTTTCTTCTAATTCTGTGATTCCAATAATATGAATGTTAATTTTTTGTGTCATTTCAGAAGGTAAAAATTGTGAAAATTAGTTTTTTGTTTGTTTGGTTTTTTTCGGTTGTGGGGCTTGAACTCTGGGCCTGGGCATTGTCCCTCAGCTCTTCAGCTCAAGGCTAGCGCTCTACCACATGAGCCACAGCCCACTTCTGGTTTTCTGAGTGGTTTATTGGAGATAAGTCTCATAGACTTTCCTGTCTGGGCTGGCTTTGAACCTCGATCCTCAGATCTCAGCCTCCCGAGTAGCTAGGATTACAGGCGTGAGCCACCAGCACCTGGCAAAAATTAATATTTCTATTTAGGCTTATCTCCTTTTTGTCATACTGTAATTATATCCCATCCTGCTAATTGTTTCAAAACTTACTGTTTTTTAAATAAAATGTTTTTTAAAAAGTTGATGAGTACATCTAGTTGGGCATGGTGATGCACACCTGTAATCCCAGCCCTGGAGAGGTGGTGGCAGGAGGATTATAAATGCAAAACAAGCTTGGGCTACAGAGTGACAAGCTGTCCCCTTCTCCTTACACACAGAGACAGAAACAGACAAACCCAGTGAGACAGAATCTGCCTTTGCTTTCTTGACCAAAAGAGTTTACCTGTGTTAGGTATGGCTATATAGGGTATGGCTATATACTGATTGAAAGTCTACAAGATCATTCCCTCATTCAGGTCATCTCAGACGTGGTCTTAGTTGTCTTGAGAATTAGTGATGTGATTTCAGATGGGACCCTGAACTCCTTGAATGCTACATTGTGCGAGTCGGAGTCCCACTAAAATCTTCCTGTCAATGTTTTTTGTGTTTTAATCTTGGCAGGTGCTCGATCTGCTTTTGTTAGCATTTCAAGTTCTGTTCATTCTAGGTAGGGGATGGATGCAGCGTCCGTGGAGTTTCCACAGGCTCTGTCTGGTCTGGAAAACCTATCCCCATACCTGTGCTCCTGAGAGTTTAGTCTTGGTCCGGTTTAGTCTTGGTTGTGCTTGGGGGTTTATGTCCCAGTTGGTCCTAGAAGCCTTAACTGTACGTCTGTGCATCTGTCACACAACATGTGGAATTCAGTGGTGGCCTTAGCACCCAGAAACATGGAACCTGATCTCCATCTCTCTTTTCTATAAGGTTCCTCCCCTGCCACCGTCCCATCCCACTGGCTTCTTTTCCTTCTTCCCCTGGCTCCAAGTACAAGACTCTTTAAGAATGCGAACCTCTCTCCCCTACTGTGATGTCACGTGGTTCCATGTGACTCCATTACCCTGGAGACCAACTGGTGAGAGAAATGGCTGGGATTGTCCCCACTCAGGAGGATGGGAGAGTCTTTCCCAGTGTCCAGGCCACTAGTGTCACCACTGCCTGTGGCTGGGGCTGGTCTCGGGACAGGCCTAGAGAGAAAGGGAAGGGGAGCAGAAAAAAAAAAGCACTGGGGGTCCTCCCTCCCCCCATTTTCATTCTCACAAGAGCTCATTTTGTCCATTGCTGTAGTCTGAAATAGGAAGTTTCACTTGCTATTTGTACTATCGCCCCTGGGCAGATTGAGAG